AGATGAGGATGATCTCTAACTTCTAATTTTTGAGATATTGATGTTTTAAATTGTAATATCGACCCTATAACGTAGTTACATTACTTGAATTCGATATTTATTATTAATTTTATACTGTTATGCCATACATTTCATGTTCAAATGATGCCAACTGATATTTTCAGGGCGATATTAAATTTTAAAACGGAAATGTCTCGAAACTTAGAATTTTTGAGTTGTTGCCTTTTGAAACTGAGCAGTCGGATAATGCTAGTTCATTACTTCTTATATTATAGTGTTTCGTTAATTTTAACGGTCATCGCCGTTTACCTAATCATGATGTGGTGTGGGAATCCGGGTGCGAAATAAAGTCAATAAAATTCTGTTTTGGTTTCCAATTAAATTCTAATTAAAGACGACATTTAAATGTTTTTGCTGTCTTATAAACCTCGCAGACGTCTTGTGATCAATATTCCAGAACCTAGTCCAATTTCCGTTCAAAATTCAAGATAGGGTAGGTTTAAGGAACCGTCAGATGGTATTGGCTGAATCCTTCATGCCAACTGCCACTAAACGATTCAATGAAAACCTTTTACTTATAAAAATGACTGAGAGTCGTAGAAAAAGTACCCTGTGAAACTCTGTGTAATAGGTATTAATTCACTCGTGTGAAGTTTAAGATACTCGCTCTTATCGTAATATCATACTCTTGTATTAATGCCCATCATTACTTCATGATTTCATAATTTACTTGTGCTGAATATAAAATGAATTTTTATTTGTTTACCTACAGTTAATATTATAACATTGACAACTGAACTATTGAATGTCTTTGTTAGTATACAAAATTAGTGCTAGCTATATTTTTGAATCTGTATCATTGGCTTTGGGGGGGGGGGTTAACCCCATGAGTCCCCCCTCCCTTGTGTGTGCAACTAATCGATGTACAAATGAAGGAAGGAAGATAGAAATGAGGGGTGATTAAACGAATGAATAAATGATTAAATTAATAAATAAATCCGCGACTATTCAAGTTTATCACACAAGGGTATCACAATAGATGTATCATTACTTCTAAAAATATATGGAATTAAATAGTCAAATTTTAATCTGCAATTTTTTACTGTTTATAAACTTGTATAATTTGCTTTCAATCTATAAAAATTAAGTTAGATTTATTTTCATAAAAATTGGAAGAGTCCTGATACAAATACTAATGTGTATGAGTCGGTCATTTATATCATAGTGAAAGTATTTCAAGAGTTATTTGTCATTAACATTACACAAATATCATTCTTGGTTAAAAAAATTATCAATCCTCCATACGTTTTTTATATCATGTCGTTTTAGATCTTTTTCATCAGTTTATTTTTACTTTTTAGATATTTCTTCATTTTTTGTTTTGTATATTGAAAACTTCAACAACTTTTTTTCCTTTAGGTGTAGGTATTGTTTGTTGTATTTCCTTTAGGTATTGTTTTCTGTAAATGGAGCCATTTCATTAATTTCAAGTGCAGAAGTTATTTATTTTATTTATTTAATGATACAAATGGTTTAAAACTGTATCGTACTAAAGGGAGTAGTGTATTTTGACCACGTTTTCTTAAATTCTAGAATCCCTCCTGAGTCTAACTGTTTTCCATGCAATCATTTCTGCATGAGAAAATTTAAAAAGCCTCAACAAAACAAGCATGAAAAGGGAGTATGTAAGGAAGTCCGCAAATTACACTGGACAAAAAATTATTTTTTTCTGTTACAGAAAGGAAATTACTGTCATGTAATGTATTTTGTATTGCTGTCACGAAAATGACTTCAAAATTTTCAGATATGATCAGGTAGTTTTGTATTTATTTTGTGTAAGAAAGGTTTTTAAAAGATATGATTCTATTTATAGTTGAGAGCATTATTTATAACTTACCTTCGTTAATGATGCTTTCTCTTGGCTTTTCTTTTGTAATGAATGTGAGGCGAATTAGAGTAACAATAGTTCTGCTCGCATGTATGTACTGCAGATTTGTGTGTATCATAACGGAAATAAGCATTAGGACAACCTGCAGGACACACATGGTGTTCGAAATTGAGTGTAATATTTTATTACCTTTTTACCAGCAAAAAATATTAACAGTGAATACTGAGTGGTTTGGCTCTCTGTCGCTTGGCCCATCAACGAAAGCTGATTGGTTTGGATCTCTGCCACAAGGCTCTGCCCCAAAAACCTGCATGCGTGTTACTGCTTTTGAGAATTGTTCCCCAGTTTTTCATTAAAAAGATTTAAGACAGGAAAGTAGAAGTTTCAGATTAGAACACAGAAAAAACAGTGTTCTACAACACAGATGATAGTAGCACATAATTAGGAACCATGCGTCCTGGGTCCTTGAAACCCGGTTTTCGTGTCCATAAAAGGAACGTGAAATTTATAGGATCAGGTGAGCTTTGGGAGGATACGAGTTTTGTACAACTGGGGAAGGATAGGTGGGAATTGTGTCTTGCGTTATGTCTAAAGCAGTATTTTACAGAAAGAGATATGTTTGATTCTCCTAACACATTTTTGGAGAATTAGCTCCTTTGGGGATCCCTAGTCGACATCATTAGTGCTCAGATATGCGAAGTAACTCGAAATATATGTCAAATTCATTCTAGGGAATAGAGAAAAAACTAACAATACTCCACGCTAAAATTAAAGTTACTCTGATTTTCTGTGAAATTTAATCTCAACGATTAGTGTTATTGGAATGTTTACGCGACCACAACACCGAGCATATAATGCTGTAACGCAGTCCTGGGGATCGTCGTTCGAAGTTAGGATGCAATGATAAGCTATTTTGTGATACAAAATTATAATTTACAAACTGTGCAAAGTTTGCACTGGTTCAGCTAATAATAATAATAATAATAATAATAATAATAATAATAATAATAATAATAATAATAATAATAATGATAATAATGATAATTATAATAATAATGATAATAATAATTAATTACACGAAGATAAACATCTCCTTAAGGTGACCAGATCTTCGAATAAAAAAAAAGGACTTTGTGACTTTTTCTTGACTACAAAAAGAGACAAAACGGGACACGTGCACTCAAGAAAATTATCATATTATTCAAAATTAAAATTGCTCTTTACACGCAAAAACATCGATTTCAACATCTCGATCGGTCTTAAACATCGATCTCAAAGAGTAGAAATACCGTATTGGCACGAACGGACAATAATTACTTATCTATCCACTTCTTTACCAATTGAATATGGGGTCCCGCAAGGCTGGATGTTAGGTCCTATTCACTTTCTGTTATACTAAAAAATATGCCGACGTCTATTAAAAACTAAACAACGGTTCTTTTGCCGATGGTACGATTAAGTTCTTTATGTTACGCATTAAGAATTCTTTCAAATTCTGTCAGCCTTCATGCAGCTCGTTGCTAGTATTTTTCAAATTTACATTCCCGCCTGAGATATGGCATAATATTCTGGGGAAACTCGTCATGTAGTACTCAGACCTTTAGATTGCAAAAGGAAATTATTCGAATAATGAAAAAATGTCATCCGCGTGATCCCTGTAAGCCTCCCTTTGTTGAGCGTGAAATCTTATCACTGCCATGTCCATATATTTACGAATCTGTAATATTTGTCAAAAGTGACTTACTTAACGGTGGGAACATATTTTCATGCAATAGATATTTATAATTACAACACACGTCGTAAAAATCACGTTCATCAAGTGTCAGTATCAACAGCTCACTATCAGAAATCCACATACAATACATGTACGTTTGTTTACAATGCATTGCCAGATGACATTAAAAAATTGAAGTTGGTTCACAAATTTAAGTTAAAAGTAAAATATTTTCTGCTGCATAACTGTTTCTATACAATTAGAGAATATACTGATAATAAACAATAAAAATAATGTTTATTTTAACAGAACAGTGATGTATATTGAATTAATTTAAATTTTATTGTATATATATAAAGACTTAATATGTTTGTAACGAATAGTGTACTTCAGCTTCCGGATCAATGACCCCCGTCTCGATCAGGTTTTTGTCCAGTTTCCCTGATCCATTGAGCAAATGCTGCTGTTTTACTTCTGGGCGTAAATGTAGCTTTACAATGCACACGTTTTGTTGAACTCTCCTTTTGCTTGTAATGGCAGGAGTAGCGGTAAGGACTAGTCACTATTTTGTTAGCAATGCTGAAAAATCATACTTGTAATTCGTTTACCAATGCAAATAAGTGTTCTGTAACTCGGGAACGAAAATGTCTATTTTTTCAAATATTGCTTATCTCGGCTTTTTAAAATTTATTTTTATTTATTTATTTTCAACTTTTACTTATTTTTCAACTATTTATAGTTAAAACGACGGGAAAGATTCTGGAACTCAAGAAAACGTGCGCAGATAATCTTCTCCCCGTCACATACGGTTTTTATAGTTTTCGACTGATAAATAAATATAAATCAGAAACTCACAGAAGCAGAAGGTTCGAATTATTGCATTTCTCGGTAAAGATATCGACAGCGGTTTCAAATAACGCGAAAACTTATATTCCCTTCCTAGAACCACCACTGAATCTCTCCCTTCTTGATTTCAATAATCTGTGAAGCACTCTTGTTACGCATTGCACGAGCGTATGTTCTACTCACCCTTACGTTTATATAAACTAATGCAAATCCAAAGGAATACATTATAATTCATTCAAAATTGTAAAATTGTTGACGGAACGTTATGCCGATTATTCGTCACCAAATCCGGACATTTTGGCTTCCCGTTTTCCTGTAAAAAAATACGGGACAGACGGAAAAAGGGATTGTTCGGGCTATTACGGCACGTCTGGTCACCGTATATATCCTCTAAGTGTGATTTTATAGTAGACCTCTTCTTACACCGAAAAGTGAATTTTTATGCACTGATTAATTTGTTCTGGAATACACCAATTCATTCTTTAAGGGAAATGAAAATATTCCAAAACATTTAGACAATTTTTATTTTATATTAAAAATGGATGCTACATGGGTAATCTTACCTTATTTGTAAATAAAACAACTTATAACTAACAATTCAATTTGTATTTTAAGTAAAGTCGCAAATGAAAGAATTCAAATTCTTTAAAAATGATTTTCCATGCAATGACTCATTAAATGTGTGTAACGCTTATAAGGCACTGACAGCACATCCGTAAAACATTACCATTACTAAATAGCAATAGAAAGGAATCCCAAAGAATTGATTGAGGTTTTTTTCTTGTATATATAAGAAATGGAATATCAGCAAAATGATTTCGCAAATCACAGTGCCAATTATACCCGACATCAAAATCAGGCGTCTTTTAGCGTCGCAAGCACGGCGACAAAGTACTGTGCTTAGTGCTAGACAAGCAGCCAGCACCACCAGTTCTGGAAATGATATGGCCATGCATTTTCCATTTAGTGGAGATCTCGCCTGAAAATGAGAATACCGAATTAATTTGAAAATTTGTTATGTTTTATTGTTCTAATGCTGTAATTTCTCACAATATGCAATTAGACAAATTTTGATTAACTTCAATAAAACTTTAAAATATTCTCATTGTCATGAATATTTTATCAATACTCTCATGTTCTTCCTTCCAACACTTTAATACTATTGTTCTTTTAGGTTTGATATATAAAATCGATTTCAAATACTCTCAGTGGTGCTTTATATTGGATGAAAAGCAATTAGTCTAGGTACAACACACTATCTAGAACATCATTTGAATTTAATGATATTGTAGTCGAATATATAGTTGCCTATATCGTGTGCGTTTAGAAGAAGAAAAGTAGTACTGTAATGTTTGGAGTTTGGGCAGAAATTCATTTCCTTTACCTAGACAAATCTAATGATGGAATTGTCAGCAACTTTTCACTTTATTATTATTATTATTATTATTATTATTATTATTATTATTATTAATACTATTGCTATTATTGATTATATTTCATTCGTATATTTTGTTTTAATTTCTATCTTTATTTTTATGGTAATAGTTTTATTTTTGTTTGGACGGGCAATGGAACGCACAGTTGCAATTTCTATGATTCTTTTATATGAATGTCTTAAGATAGTAATGTTATTTGCTTCTTTCAAACAACGCTTTTCTTTCTCAATCGTTATGGAGTGTAATAATAAGATCAAAATGGAAGCGCTCTAATAAATCCATTAGAGCTATAAAGAAGTTTCTTATGGTATCCTTACGATCGTGCTAATGTGACATTATCACATCGTAGTAGAAAATAAAATTTCGTGTTAAATGTTCTCAAGCTAGTCTTTAAAGACAATGCCAAAAGGGTAACTACGAGGCGAAGTGATAGCGAAGATGATCTGCTATCTGCTTGTTTACATATTCGGAGAGAGCGATGCAGATGTGCTAGAAAATGATATTTTTGTGCCGGACAATATTGCTCAGAAAGCAAAAGCCTTATGTTATGCTTAGGTGGCTTTGAAATTTGGAACTACGTAAGAAAAACCTTACATTTTTATTTGTAAAAACGCAAAATAAAGTAAATGGTCGAGGTATAAATCAAGATATTGTGATAGTGATTTCACTGTTTATTTCGTGTTTCAGGACCCGTCAACTGGTATGGTCATTAGTCACGTAAGTCTAGTGAATGTTTTATCCTGGGAGGTGGCAGTGTTCCTTCCCCGCTGAATTATGAGATCTGGCACCAACCAACAGATAGGATTGCGGGGAATTTTCTCTCAGGTATTTCCCCCAATGGGAACCTCCCCATCCGGAACAAAAATTAAGCTCCTAACTGCTCTCTGAACATGTGTGGTAGTGTACTTCATGTTCACTGAGTGTGTAAGGGAAAAGGACAGGAAAGGAAGATCGCGCGAGGTACCTTAGGAGAATTCGGCTGCTCTGATTAATAGTTTTCTGCGGTTTCTCCAATCAACACCAGGCGAATGCTGGAGCATAACCCTAACAGGACAAGGACCACGTGCGATCTTTCCTTCCACTTACTCGTATTCTCAACACTTGTGGACGTACACAAACTTACGCTACATGCATAACGCTACCACACATGTCGGGAGATCAGCCAGGAGCTTAAAACATGTTCCGGTGGGGCAGGCGCCCCGCTGGTGGGCGATATCTAGTTGGGGAAAACCCCACAAGCACACCTGTAGATCGGCGCTGGATCTCGCAATATAACGGGGGAAGATCACCACCGCCACCTGAGATATAACCATTCACTACGCTTACGGTACAAATGAAATTAACAGTTGAAGCTCCCGGAAACAATCCGTCTTTCGTAAACCCAATGGTCCACTCCTACAATTTTCACAACCATTGATGTTCTAACAGACTTAAATAGTTGTTTAGAGGGTTTGTTGATATGAAGATACAACTTTGTCAATAAACTGGATTATAAACAATCTGAAAAGCCAATCATTTTGGAGAGTGCACATTTTACTAAATATCATGCAGGATTGTTGTACAAGAAGGCGTGCGCATAGTGAAGCTACATTTACGTCCAGAAGCAAAACAAGGAGCTATCTCAGCAATTACTCAATGTATCAGAGAAACTGGACAAAAATCTGATCGAGATGGGTGTCTTTGACCCAGAAGCTGAACTACATTGCTTGTTACATGCATATTAAGTCTTTTTTAATTATACAATACAAAAGTAAATTAATGCATTATTTATCATTGTTTTGTTTGAACAAATATTATTATTTTTTTTGATGTTCAGTATAGTCTTTAATTGTGTAAATACAGTTATGCAGCAAAAAACATTTTACTTTTACCTTAAATTTGTGTGCCGGCTTTATCGAATGTCATCTGGCAATGCGTTGTAAATCTGTTATATGTACATTTCATTTTAAGTTTGATTGAATTAAAATACCTAGAAATTCTGTTGCTTTAACAGCAGCTATTTGCATATTGTTCATTTTAAATGGAGCATGAGATTTCTGATTTGAAATGCAAAAATGCATTGAAATTGTTTGCCTTCATTCGCTATTAATTTGTTATTATGAAACCAATTTGTAACTTCTAAAATCGTACAATTTATTGTTTCTCTTTTGAAAAGAACATTCGTGTCATCGGCAAATTCAACTGTTCTTCCATTTTTAATACACGAGGGCATGTCGTTTACGTAAAACAGAAAGAGGATAGGACCTAAGATCGAACCTTGCGGGACCCATGCTCAATTGACAGAGAATTGAAAATATAAGAAAATAATGTCCTTTCGTGCCAGTACGATATATCTACTCTGCGAGATTGATTGAATAGATTGAATAATTAACAGGAAGTATTCAATGATGGAACTCTTCCTTGGAGGCTTTCCGTTGCATAACGCCAGCTCGCACGTAAGCTATGACGCGCAGTGTATGCGGATGCAGTTGGTACGCGTAATATGATAATAGGCGCAAACACACAATCAAATATTTGAATCTTCCAGTCAAAATCGGAACTCTTTCAATGTTTTTAATTTTTTCGAATTGATGGTTATCTAATGACACATTAGTCTGCCCGCGAGAGACCCAATAGTTTTCTTTCGGTTTCAGCGCGCATTGAAAGTTAATAATATAGATTGTAGAACTGTGACGAGTATGTGGTAAAGTATGTAGCACAACTAGTTTTAGCTGTCTTCTATTTGTGCACAATTACGCTTAGAGCATTATGTGCTTTTAATATTTGGGTGGAAATATGTCCGTGAAAAAACCCTCTGTACGATTTGCAGAAAGTAAACGACCCACTTCACTTCAGTTGCTTGATGACCTTGCTCCAAACATAAGATTTTTCTTTGGCAACTCTCAAACTAGTAGTGCCACACGCTATGCGTAAGTGACTTTGAAATTTGGAACTACCTAAGAAAAACCTTACATTTTTATTTGTAAAAACGCAAAATAAAGTAAGTGATCGAGGTACGCACTTTCAGGCATTATTTCTTTATTCGCAAGTTTCGAAATTTAGAGAGTTCAACTAAAATGAGACCCACGCCATTCTTTTAAGAGTCCCTTCTTATATTCGTGGAAAAATATAAAGAAAAAAATTGGAGCGTAGTTTGAGGTTTTTTAACAAATTGCTTTAGTTTCAAGGTCAAATTACGCAAAAACCACTCGCCTTTTCAAAAAATGTACATGACCTTATTTAAAGAGCTGATGTTTTGGAAAAGACTTCATCTAAGGCAAAAATATCTATCTGCAATTTTACACTTTTAAAATATTTAATTTTTCCAAATATCGAAAATACAGTGTGTTTGCTGAAAAAGGGGCTAGTTCCATATCTCTCTGTCCCTTACAAGACGATAATTCGAAGAAAAAAATTGGAGCGGTTTTTCAGAACAAAATAGTTAGAAAATTACTTGCTTATATTTCACGAACAATTACACGAAAATTACTCATATTTTCGAAACATGAACTTATTTGGATAACTGTTTGTAGGGAAAAGATTTTTATTAAGGAAAGGAAAAAATTAAATATTACAGTTGTAAAATGTCCCACCAAAAAAGTTTCACTTCAAAATTGCCATTTAAAAAACGGGGATGCCAATCAACATTCTCTTAAGCCGTTCTTTACGCTATCCGAGGCTTTTATTTCAATTTCATGTAGAGTAGTGATTTTCTTAATTATTATTTGATCGATAGTTTTCTTTGAATTTAGTTTGATTCGTGGTTGTACATTAATTGTATGAATTATGATTCGATAATAGAATTAGAAGGTATGTTATTTACAAAATTGACTGACTTCTGACTGACTGAAATCTAGTACTTACGAAATTTGGCAACATGGTTATGTATGTTGTTGTTCGCTAAAATATTATAAATATATAAATATTACCGACTTTCTTTACAAAGCTATATGAAACACAAGCGCAGGTTCCTGACTTAAACTGGCGAGAACTAAATAGTATCTCGGCCGGAAATGTGTTTGAAAATATTCATTTAATAAGTGGTTTCTTGTAATGTAATAATTCGAAAATATCTTACAATTATCTTCAGTACCGTGTATTATTTTATTTTGAAAAGACGTTCTAGAAGTGTCCCAGTAAGAAATTGATTGCTCATTCTTGGAAAGATAAGAACAAAAATTATAATTTACTTAGTACATAAATATCATTTAATTAGTATACTTAATTAGAACTGATATAGAAACTGATAGATTAAGTATTCTGAAATGAAATCTAATACTTACATATACATTGTTGGTAATAATCTCAGTCCAAGAAACAACACCATGCATTCCCAAGAAATACAACAAAACATGTGTGCGTATTCTATGTGTAAGAATACTTTCCAAGACAGCGATTACAATGCCCCACAAAACTGGCTGTGAAACAAAACACATAATCTGTATTGTGAAGAATTTATTATTAAAAAGAACATTCCCGCGACACATAACAGGCGAGGGAAACTGTAGTAAAAATAATTCTTTCCTTTGGGATAAGACTTAAAGAATAATTGTAAAATCTGTTCGTTGCGTAAAATATTCAAAATAATAACGTTCCACTTTTAACCTTTGACTGAGCTGGTAGGAAATATTAATACTGAACCGCTGATTGTATCACGCTTAGAACCGTGGATACTCAGAACCGCCTAGAACCCGACGGTTCCATTTTGTATTAATGCATTAATTAATTAATTATGCATTATTTATTTATTTGTTTATTTATTTATTTTGTTTTTCTTTTGGACCTGAGTTCCAATCTCGGCGTGGAATATAGATTCTGCTAATTGAAAATACTTTTGCACGTTCGTGTGGAAGTATAATATTGCGGAGCCGTTTCAAATAACGGGAGATAGTTTTGGCTGTTTTAGCACTACTAGTTTCATCTTGATAGTATGGGAAACATTAAGAAGGGTGAGCGAAACATTACTGAGCGTGCACGAAACATTGCGTAACGTTTGTGAAATGCCTTTCGCGAAGGCGTGTTAAAAATAGTACATTCAACACATCCGAGAGGTGATTCGCGCAATTTTTAAGTAACTTACTGGTAAATTATAACCTTCTTTTTTGAGAAGAAAGGGAGTTTTATGTACGTTGTGAAACATACTTAGTCTGTCTTAAAATTATGAATGGATGAGCAAAATATTTTTTAACCCGCAGTGCGCGAAACATGGTTTCTCGTGCATGTTTTGCGTATTCCAAGCGTATTCACAGAACTGTTCCATTGTTTTCCTTTACTCTGCTTTCCATTCTTCCGCATTTTCAGATTCTTCGTCTTTCTTAGATTGAAGGAAGTGAAGGAATAAAAACAAGAATTAGTCTTAAGTATGTATTGAAATAAGATTGTTAGTACTTAAACTCAATTTAATGGAGTTTTATACTACAGAATATTAATGGGATCTTAAACAAAACTTAATAAGAATAAATAATTTGGATTGTACCACGAATATTGCACGTTTTGAGAAAACAAATTAAATGTCAATGATCATATAATAATAACTAAGGGACAGAAAAATCCAGCTAGATAAAAACAATTAATCTCTAAAATAAAAATAATATTCCACAAATATAGTAGAAAATAGTAAATAAAGGTAAAAAATCTACATTACTTCTAAATTTAATTCAGCATACGATCTAAATGTCAAATGGCACTTTCAAACAGAAGAACAGAAAGAGAACAGCCACGAACGGAGAGAGTTAAATCGCGGTACTGACTGTCATATCTTCAGCCACACACAGGTTCTCAACGTATTGCAACGTAAGGTGTAAGCATATGCCAAACCAGCGTGAATCGCTTTCTACACCACCGCAAGTTCCTTCCTTATTACCTCTGCCTTTATACTATACTTCCTTTTTACACTAAATATTTGTGGAATATATTATATATTTTATTTTTTCATACTGGCGGTTGTGGCAGCAGAGCGCTGTGTTTCCTTGTGTGGCGAACTGTTATAGTCAAAATATGCGTTAAACACGTGTAGCAAAGAAAATCAAAATCACTCAAAAAATGCTTATCTGACAATATGTATATCATTGGATTCTTTTTACACTCATCATAGTAGGCTAAAATATGCGTAGTTCCATTAGAAAAAAACAACAACCAATGTTACCCAAATATCTCGTTAAATACAAGTGATATAATGGAAATGGAATATAATCAATTAGCGCCATTCCCTCATGCACTGTTCTTTAAAGTCAGATCTTGAAATAGGTTTTGATAAATTTTTCGAAAATCTGAGTGTTTTTCATGCAATATTGCACAAAATATAAGCAAATTAATTTTTTAAACACTTTTTTCTCAAAAACCTATCCAATTTTTAGTCTTCTCAAGTGTAAAATGGACGGCAAAAATTGTGGTGCTAGACCCATTTTTGTGCTTTCGAAAATTGCTTAAAGTTAACATTTCAAAATTACAAAATTGAAGATACAGATTTTTGGCTTAGACAAAGTCTGTAGAAAAAATAAATCATTAACGTCAGGTACAATTTTCTGAAAAAACAAACGAGTATATTGAGCATAATTTGTCTGAAAATTATTTTCAATTCCTAAATATATTATTTTCTCAAAAACTTCTCGAAATTTTTTCTATTATTTTTTTCCTTGTGTGTAACCACTGACGGTAAAAGATATGGTGCTAGTCCTATTTTCGGCGAACTCTTTGTATTTTCGAAAATTGCAAAAATTACATCTAGGAAATATTGCGTTGAGACAATTCCATTTTTGAGCGTCGGCCAGAATTCGAACCCCACGGCGTTTCTGCAGCGAAGTGGTATGGCTGACGGCGAATTAACTCGGAAGACGGTTCGAGTCTCGGTGAGGACAATTCTTGCTGGTTGAAAACACTTTAGCATGTTAGTACTAATCCGCACTTGGCTAGCATGGAACTAAAATGGTCTATGATACAGTGGACACACTTTGGACCACTTAAGAATTGACTAACGTTAAAACCATCTGCCAATACTAGAGTAGTACTTTTATTATGGGGCACCTACGATCACAAATGACACATAGCCCACTTTAAAATGTATAGATGCTTACCTGTTCAGATCAAATTTACCATAACCTAGATTTTAGCCAAAATGTTTCATAAACCACATTAGTTCCAGGCCAGCCACTTTATTTCTGTAGCAGCATAATATACCGGAGCAGTTAGAAAAAAATCCAGAAAGTATGTGCTGTAGCAACACTAGTTTTTCAGAATGTCCAAACCATTAACATAAATATCAATGGTAAAAAACAATGTCTAACCAACATAGTTGTCAGGGAATCTGAAATTCTTTATTATACATGAACAATAAATAGTTGATCCCTGCACTCTATTAAATATTTGGTAACAAAAAACATCTTAAGTCTAGAATAGTGAACATATATTAAAAAACGATGTACTAGTGTTAGAACTGTGACTAGTTTTGTGCTGACATGCAAAGTGAAATTTAAAAGTAGATATAATACAAGATAATGTCTCACTTACTTGTTTTGTCTGATTGGCGAACATACACCAAGAGATAATGAAATGTGGTATAAGGAAAGTCAGTATCAATAAGCGGCCGATTGTTGATTCTAATACAGCCATGACTGCAGATCCTGCATACAAGCAAACGAGTACAAATGACAAAAATAGTTCGAAGTCAAGAAAGTTACGTAGAGTAAAACGACCGATGATATTTCAAATGAGTATTTGCAGGTATTATTTCTGTGGGTATGTGTGAAAACCTTAATAGAAAAGTACCAAAACCATGAAAATCCCCTAACAACCACCCGTATTGGAAGCATCATTCGTCTTCGCGAAATTTGTTTTGTCGCCACATATTTTAGTTCTGTTATTAAATAAGTTTAAACTTTGGTATGAATTCTAAAATAAGTCATCCTCGTGTATATTTTAATCATTTTTGTATCGATTTAAGCTTCGCGGGTATTCTGACATTCTCTTCAATGAACTACAATTAGGGCTCGCGAATATGTTGTTGGCTCGTACTGTTGATATTTTGAATTAAAAAGTTTCAAAAATGAAGTAGTAACTGAAAATTAAAATAAGCACAACAAAGCAATTCTTTGAGTAGGTTTTACTAATATTTATTTGTCACTTTAAAGACTTATCGGATTTATGAAATTCTTTGTAGATTCTAAATTTTAGTCCTTAATTTTTAATTTACGCAATAATCAATTTTATAAATTGTGATAATTGATATTCATCAGTTTTCTCGGAAGTAATCATACAACACGTCACGAAAATTGGGTATGCCGGTATTATGATACGGCATACCCAATACACGGTATTTGATTAACATTACTTTCAATGCTAATGTTATTCTGGTAAAGGATAAGTTTATACTGGTATTGATTCAAAGTGGACATACCTATTGAAATGTTTGATGTTTCTTGGTAGTACCTCCTAAATCTTGACTTGTAAAAAAGTAACTGACTTGTAATTAAATATTGTCTTGTCGGAGAATCTTGAACCAACTGGCGGCGTCCAACTGTTCTGCGAATCTTTGTAATAACCACGCGAATCAGTTCCAATTCAGCGCATGCGCAGATATTCAATGAAGTCGCAGACTCGCAGTAGTTCAGAGTCTTTCCACCATGGTCTGAACTTCAGACGTAGATTCCGAAAGTTTGGTACTGTCTTTGACATGTAGATGTCATTTGAATCGAAAGATTTAGCCCCTTTAGTTGTGATTGCGACTATTATAACTATCAGGAGTTATCAAATATTTTTAATATCGTATTCCACGCACATGATTTAAAATTCAATATAGCATACCTAACGATGAAATTTCCGTACAGATTTTTAATTATTTTTATACAATTGAATACATTTTTTTTTGTCTTTACTCTCACAACCGGTCCCTTAAAAATTGTAGATGTTTTTTTAAAAATATTTTATTCCATAATATCAAGTAATTCTTTTCTTCCAACGACGTTTCGGGAGTTACTGCACTCAGGTCTACTGTGATAATTTTTTTTTCTTAATTACTAAACATAAAAATAATGTAATTTGAGTTTTCGGTTATTACAATGTTGGCATGAAGACTTACGTTTTTGGTAAAATTAAGAACTTTCAAGAAGCAACAGAAGGGATCCCTTTCTTCGTATACCATGTTTTTTTCAATCTTCCATTAGGGCAAGTTAATATTAAAATTTCCCTAAATGATTTTTAATTTTATAATGGAAATAAAATTACTTACTATGTCACAAAAAAATAGAAACATCAGTAATTTAGTGAAAAATTAATTAATTTAATAAACAATATAGAAAGAGAGATATCAAATTTTATATCCCATTACAACAAGTTAACAGTGTTTGAAACTGTACACTAGTCACACATGTCACTTAGCATTTCATTTACTCAGACTTTTCAGACTTTATCTTATTCCTCTTTCTTTCTTTCTTTTCCTTTCTTTCTTTCTTTCTTTCTTTCTTTCTTTCTTTCTTTTCTTCTTTCTTTCTTTCTTTCTTTCTTTTCCTTTCTTTCATTTTTCTCTTTCTTATTTTATTATTGAATTTGTAATTAATTGTAATAATCAATTGTTTTTAAAAATGGACCTAAAGACACAGATTCAATTTTGTGAGTGACTACCAACTGAGTGAATATCAACTTTTCAATAGGCTACTCAGTTTAATAAACATTGATACCACAAGGAATCATTTATACTATATTTTTTTAAATAAATGAACTTTATGTCAATAATAGGCCTAACTACTACTCAACTTCAATTGAATAATTGTCTTGAAAAGAGTCAAAATATAATGCATGGAAACATTTATTCTCTTCACTTTGTTAACAATAATTAACTTTTTTTTTAAATGTTGATGTTCTTTCAAATTATAAATTGCTTGAGATACAATTTAAAATTTGCTTTTGTTAAAATGCTACAATGGCATTATACTTATTGTGACTGAAAATGGAAATTTATAAAAGTAATCTTGATTATTTTCAACATTATCATCCTGTACTGCTTGATGGAATGCTTGATGAAATGCTTGATGCAAATACACCTTAAAAAATCTTTAAAGTGTATTTGTGTGATGCATTTCCTGGTTCTTCCTCCTAACTCTCTGCCCTATTTATTTATATTTTAAAACAGATTTGAAAATCTTTCTTCTTTCACTCTTTTAGTATTCTCCAGCCCTTTAACCTGTGATTTTTTTCAATCCCTTTTGTTAAGTTTGCTGTTCTGAGACATTTCCTTGTCTTTGTTTCTCTGTCCATCCAGTCTATTACAGCCAAGGTCTAAGGAACTTCATTTGAGTTACTTATAGCTTTTGTTTATCTCTCTGATACAGGTTCTTGGATTTTGAACCATAAAAGAACTGTGGCTTGGCTGTCAAATTGTGAATTCTTAATTTGATTTTGTGTTGCATCTCTTATGTATTAATTTCACATTGTTATATATTACATATTCTTATGACAATTGTTGCAGAAACAATTATTGCAATGCATGATTTTTATGCAGTCACTGACAAAAAGTTCAGGATTATGAGTAAATATATTTTAGAATATATTTTTGCCAATTCATTACAAAGTTCAATGCTAAATCTTCACCATTGTTGAATTAATGTTTCCCTCATTATCTCATATTTGAATTATTACTGTAAGTTATATAATTGAATTTATTTCCATTTATATTTTAAATGAATTAAATGTTTATTTTAATAAATTACATATATTTTTAACTCATAATTTATCAAGTTAATGTTAACTTATTAAATTATAAGTGTAAGTGAATGTAGTTAAAAATAAATTAAATTCTTACTGAAATTTATTAATTTCTAAACCGACTTTGATAGATATTTTCTGTAAGTCTATAAGCAATAAAATATTATAAAAGTAAAAAAAAAAGAATATTGTCTGTCGTTTTACAATCATTTATACCTACTAAATAGATTTATATTGAGTGCTATGGTTCTTTATAATAATTTTTCATTGATATTAATCTCTGTAATATTTTATTTATATTTTTTATAAAATGTTATAATTTTTCCCTTACACAGTGTAGCCTGAAGATGGAAAAAAATGGATATATCCCAAAAACATTGAATAGCAACGCATGTTTGACACATATATGTTTTTTTTTAATGTGATTCTAAACGTTTTGTTGTTATAAATAAACTGTCTAAGTAAATTCTGTGACCAAATCCATTGAATACTTACAATCAAATATTATTATTATTTAACATAATTTAAATTTCTTTCTGCATGTATAGGGTCTAAAAAGTGCAGATCATAAGGGTTGTTTAATTCATTAGTTCATTATTATAAAATCAAACAGTTTACAGTGTTCAAGTAGAAAATAAAGTGCAGTTAAAAAATAAAGTTACACTATTACAAGTAGAAAATAGAAATTTAAAACTAACGAATAAAAATGCAGAATTTCATTACCGAGGTGAGTACCTTTCATATGAAAATTCAATGATAGGTATGGTTAAAAAATATATTGGTGGTTCAATACTTCTCATTGAAAGTTTTACAAAATATGAAATCAACTAATTAATCATAAATAACAACCAAATAACATTTTCCGCTGCATATCGATGATTAAAAAATAAGACTTTTGGGAATAAGTTAATTTCAGTTATTTTTTTGAAAATTTCTTTAATTAATACAATTTAAGGAATATTCCTTTTGAAACAATTTATGCTTTTATTCTAATAATAGTTCAGGAAAGTATTGAAATCAAAGTATTTTGTATAAATCATAGTATAATTGTAGTTCACTTTTCTTTTAACTCTTTTGCATACATATCTAAGAGCACAGTTCATTTTATTGCTGTTAACATAATGTAGTAGCTTAGTACGGCACCTCCAGTGGGTATTTTCATGTTAAACATTTTTATTTGTGTTATACAATTTCATAATAAAAATATATTTTAAAAATAATAAGTTGTCGAACATAGAAAAAGTTTACATGAAAAAGTATCACTAGAAAAACTTTTAAACATTTTTTAAACAAAATTAGGTTTAATTGTTATCAATGTAATGAAACTAGTCCTATTGATTCATGCAATCAAGGAAAGACAGTAAAGAAACCTACTGTTTCACCATTGTAGATGTCTTAAAACATCTAATGTTTTTCTAGGATTCTTTCACAACCATCTAAAAGGATCTGTCTAAAAATAGTGCCAGTGGGTTCATTGGTCCGGAGGAATTAAATGGGATCTCCTTTATAAGTACCATATGAACAGTAGGTTCATTTGTCTGGAGAAATTCAATGGGATCTCCTCTATAAGTACCATATGACCTGTTAGGAATAAATAGAAGTTTGGTTTTTAGTTAGCAGAGTCTGCCACTTCCGTAGCTTTGTGTTCTTTGGCAAGCATGCCTGTTGTATGTCTTGTGTGTGCAGTATGTGCCATCTTGAATCAGAAGTGTAGAGCAGTGTTATGTTCCTGCAAAGCAGTGATTAGTAAAGTTATCTGTTATGGTATGATGTATCTGTCTCTAGCAGCACTCCAGATCCACTGACAAACTCTTAACATGACCCCCTGAAAACAAGTTTTTTGATAATAGATTGGTAGACTGAGATACATTGAATAAAACCCCACTCTTCCAAATGATGGACCAGATGTGGTCTCACAATGAGAAATGTGTACAAGTTACCTGATACTATATGTTTCAGCCACAAGTAGTAGTGAAACAGCTATTATTGTATTCATTTTTAATCAAAATAATTATATATTTTTTTTAATTATATAGTATTATATTTTTCAAAAAAGATTCAGACAAGAAAATTGCAGTTGATAAATATGAAATAAAAAGCATTGTTTTCCTTTTTAATATGATGATAGTTAAAATAACTTTCCCAAAATGTTCTTTAATGCATTGCAGCAAGTAATTTATCAGTGTAAAACAAATGAAATTTAAAAAATTGAATACTCTTACTTTGTAATGTTAATATATTAATACACAATATTAATATATTAACAATACAAATTACATAATATTATACATACAATTAAATATAAATTATTTTATTATTACATTACATTACACTACACATATATTAAAAATTTATTTTACATATAAAAAAAATAATCTAAGAAATGTGAGAGGTGCTTCATTAATTTCAGGACTTATCAGCATCTTGTTTATATCAGATCAGTTAACTTCTTTATAAATCTTACAAAGGAAGGCCTTAGTTTTGTATTAAGAACGTCATTGAGTTCTAAAAGAGAGAAGAATTGCTCGATGAAAACCCATTTATATCACTAATAAACTACTTTACATTTCTTGAAGATTTGTCATTGGCATAGTCAGTGTTATTTGCAGATTCATATCATTTATTAGGAAAATATTTTGTTCAGATCATTCAGATGTTCAGATGTTTTTGAAATACATAATATAATTCAATATTTAATACTTGTGTGTTAAATCTCTCTTTTAAATGTAAATAATAAAAAGGTAATGCTATAAAAGTACCCCTTAACCATGGAGGTAAAACAAATTTATTTCCTACTCATAATTGTTATAAGTCAGCATTAAATTTAAAACCTTTTAAATGGCTAATGATTACTAACAGAAGGCATTATATT